ATCTTCTTTTGGCTCATAAGAAGTCAATTTACTGCTGATAGACAAAGGCTTGTAGGTTTCACATGTTTTTTTTTTGGAGTAATAAGAATGAATAATTGTCTAATTTATTTTTATTTTTTAATTTTATAACGAAATCTAGGATGGGTTCTTAGTATTGACGTTTAAAAAAACCATATTCAATCCCACAATGATTTTTATTTACAAATATTTACAAAGGTTTTTAACTTGGCACAAATCTTTGATCTAATCCCATAAACCTATACATGATATCCCTAATCCTTGGTTGATTAGCAGGAACCATACGACTTGAGTTATATACAACAACATATGTAAGGTTTCTTTCTGATATCATTCGACCCAATAAAACATTATTTACAGTCCATGGAGTAGTGGTTAAGTTCTTTCGTTGTTTTTTTTCAAAATAATAATAATATACAGATGATGAGAATAAAGAAGGGAATGAATGAAACCTTATGTTTTTGAAGAATAAGAAGAGTACCTGGAAACCTATTGCGCCATTCCATGTCATTCTCCTAATCCAATCTGCTGTTCCATTTACATTGCAAACTAAATCTTTGTCTCCACTATATTTCATGAATAGATGTTAATCAGAAAAGCTTTCTTGCGATACGATAAAGTAAAATTTATAAGTGAAGTTGATACTTTCTCATACAATAGAACTTTTGTCTGTCTTAAAATATCAGGCAATAGCTATTTGAAATTTATTAACAGTTATATCATTTAGTCAATTATCTTATTGCTGTTTTTGAAATGATAGAGACTATCCAAAAAAATATTTTTTGAGTATACTGTGTATACTCATATACTGGATATCAAATGACTATTTTAAGATATCAGAGTCAGTCATTTGACAATTACAGAATTTAAAATAATTAATGTACGTACTTCTTACATAACTGTGCATATTTTATGCACCCTTGCATAATTATGCACAGTTATGTAAGGAGTGCATAAAATATGCACAATTATGCAAGAAGTGCATGAAATATGCATAGTTATGCAAGGGTGCATAAAACATGCACAATTATGCAAGAAATACATTAATTATTTTAAATCTTGTAATTGTCAAATAACTGACTCTAGTATCTTGAAATAGTTATTTGATATCCAGTATATGAGTATACTCAAAAAATATTTTTTTGGATAGTTTTTATCATTTCAAAAACAGTAATAATCATTTAATTTTTTTTTTAAAAAAAAAAGGTTGCTTAAAAACATACATCAAATGCAGGCCCAGATCGATCATCACCCAAAAGAAGGTTGGATACAGCCGTATTACATCCAACCCAGGTTATGTTTGCGCCAGTAGCATGAATTGCTGTGATTACATCTCGTCGCTTCAAATATGCATAGTCTAAATTAGTATCGAGTTTTATTTTGAAATAAAAATTTTGATGAAAAAGGTACATTTAAATATGCTTGAAGGGTAGGAAGACTATAAGGCCAATCATCTCCGCATGCAGGAAATATACTGGAATGATCTCTAATGTCGTACTTATTTATACAAGTTGCGTTGTTTCCGGTACTATTCAAAGGAAAAAAAATACCAAGGATTAAATTCAAATAATATTATTTAACAATATCACCTGAAAATGCATTTACCCAATTTGAGTGCCGTTAACAATGAGTCCAAACGTCTGGTCACAAGGTTTAACACGAACTGTTGTAGTGTTTCTTAAAGTTTGCAAACATAATTCTAATTGTTTATCAATAAGCAGCTATTGTTCATGTATAGAGTTACGAATAAAGGGATAGAGTTTATTAAATTCAGATTTTAACACGTAAAAAAAAAATACCTTGTAAATATCACCTATAAGATGATTGCTAAGAGCATATGTGTATTGAGCCTTGTACTGTTTAAAATATTTAAAAATACGTATCATTTTTATACCTGAACAAATAAACTAGATAACAAATTAAATGGAAAAAGGCAGAACAGTACCTGTGTACGAGGATCAATCCATCCGTTTCCAATGGCAATGCCTTGTAGATTATACTATTATTAAAAAATGTAAATTTCATCAAATGCATTTTGTTTAAGTCGATAGAAATAAAATAATTGGTTTTTTTCGCGAATACCTTCAAATTAGTTGGAGTACTTGTTTGATTATTGCGTCCTAATATAGCAGTGGCTATATAGCTTATAAGTGTTCCTGCGTAATGTTCGCCTGCTATATATATCTAAAGTATGAAGGAAATTTATTGCAAAAACATAGTGTTAATATTATATATTATCAGATACATTAAAATATGATACTTTATTTCACAAAAGTTGTCAACTTGAGTTGATTGGCTTACTTCTTCTTGGGAAAATTCTGGAAAGATAGTAATAAACGCATCAAGGAATTTTAAAAATTCACTTGACTCCTATAATAAGAAATATATATATATATCATTTATTTCAATCATTAAAATTTTTAAAAAATATTGTTTTATACAATTCTTACTGTAGTAAAATTTCTCAAATAATTATTTGAATTAAAGGTAAAACTAAACCCAGACCCGACAGGTAGATCAACTAAGAAAAAAAAAATTGGCATTGCAAAAAAATGAAGTAAACTTTGTAACCATTTTCAATATTTACCAAATAATAAATTAGCATATTGATTCCATGATTCATTAGCTGATCCCAATGTTTGGCTATCAATTAATCTCCATGGTCCGATTTCAAAAAATAAACTACTCAAACTTTAAGTTCAAATTAATAATAAGTAATAAAGAATAATATGGATTGCAAGAAAATATATATGACTACCTTGAACTATATAATTCATTCATTCATTCATAGAAAATTGAGATTTAATAACACATATATATATATAGAATATTTCAAAAAGAATCAAAGGTTATTTACCATCCAGGGTCTTAAACAAGTTAAAGATGATTAACATTATTTGTTACATTATTTTGATAATTAACAATACTTGAAGAAAAAAATTACCATTAAGCCAAATAATCTGTTGTTTTTTTGCTTAATAAATGCTATGCTCATAGTTTCTTTCCAATGACCAAAAAAAAAACATGTGAAACCTACAAGCCTTTGTCTATCAGCAGTAAATTGACTTCTTATGAGCCAAAAGAAGATGGAGGAGTTTGCTTGTGTTGGTCCGTATAACGTATTTATGTAGCTACATACGAGATAAAAACAAGATATTTCAGTAATGTTATGTTTTACAATTCCATTACTTCTAAATAAAGTACATTACCCAGCATAAGTTGAATAATTAACATTTTGAGGAATACCAGGCAATGATGAGACTAAATAATTCGTAGCTATTCAAAAGTTCCCACCAGAACATTGTAAGTATCTTTGAATCTTTTTAAATATGATCATGAGGAAGAATTTACAAGAACAAACCATTTTGAGCAAATGAAGTATTGGCAATAATTATCACGACTACCGCTAAAAGTATCAAAGATCTTAAAGTTCGCATTATATTGTTTTATTAAAAGCCAAGAGTAAAGAACTCTAAATTTTATAGAATAATGGAATTTAGAAATAAATGGGCCAATTTATTCTAAAAAATTCAGCTATTTATTTTATCGAATATAATTAGATTGCATGAAGAGAACAAAAATGATAATAAGAATAAAAATAATATTCGAGACCAAAAATCAGATCGAAGCGTAAATATTATTTCGGTGATCGATGGTACTCACATTTCTAAATAATCAATTATTATAAGCCCAGATTCACATAAAAAGAAACTTGTAATTATTCTTGCTTGATCGTGAAATGAGTGGCTTAAATTTTAAAAGCCTTTCGATTGTTCGCAACAATAAATTTATGACAAAATGTAGAGACATGCGATAAATTTTAAAGTTGTCAGGACAAAGCTTTTCAACATTTCGAAAAGTCTACTAACTAGTGTTACAAATCGAAAGTTTAAAAAATCGATTAGTTGGTTAGTTGACAACTAATCGATTGAACTTTTTAGACACCAACCAATCGATCAATCGATTAATCAACTAAAGAATTAATCGATTGTTGCAAATGAATCGATTGAAAAATTATTTATTTACTTAATTAATCGATTAGTTGCAACCAACTGGAAAAATAATTAACCAACTAATCGATTGAAAAAATTTTGCTGATTTGTAACACTACTACTGACTAGTGTATCCAGATATTTATCGTGTGTTTTATAAATAATTGATATTGTTATAAAGTCAATATTTTATACCGTAACAGTTGTCACTAGGCAGAAGTCATTGGAGGGATCTACAAGTCAGTAGTTTACGGTTAGTCATAACTATGTAAATTTTACCAGAAGTTCCTAGTTTCTTTAATTGTATTTGAATGTGCTATAGAATGCTCAACGACAAAGAAGAATTTCGTTTATTACTGAGGGACGAGGTGTAATTTTCAGGCAAAACGGCGACATAGTCAAATTTCTTTTTCAAATGTACTCGTTATGTCTAATCTAACTTCTTTTTTCAATTGTGCTCGTTATGTCTAATCTAACTTCTTTTATCAATTGTACTCGTTATGTCTAACAATAGTAAACTATTATTAAAAACTCTGAAGATGCGACACAAATTGCGTAATAACCTTAAATTTCTAAATTTATTTGCTATTTGTGATAATTATGGAAAACGTAAAATCTCGAAATAGCGGGCATCTGCATGCTATTTTGACTACCTGCGCGCTATTTCGAGTACGCCCATGGGCGTTATTTCGAATATATAGGTTGATTTTCTGAATAGGATGTTAAATAGCCCACAAAGGACTTGTTCGGACTGAACTTTTTAGGGCAGTCTTAATAAAAGTGAATAATGGATTTCGGTTTCAAAATTATCTATAGTCTATGTTAAACTGCTAAGTTAAACCTGGACTTTTTAGAACCGGAGCTGGGTCAGACCGAACGGTCTCTTTAACATCCCTATTTTTGAACCTTGTTTTTTTCAAATTACATAATAATGGAGTGCGCGTTATTTTGGGACGCGCATGGGCGTTATTTTGAATCTACATATGCTATTTTTAGGGGGCGCGATTTTGAATCTACATATGCTATTTTTAGGGGGCGCGATTTTCGAAATAACGCCCATGCCCGCTATTTCGAGATTTTACGGTAGAAACAAAAAGGTATAGTTGTTGCAGAAAATGATATAGTAGCTGTACGTACGTGAATGCGATTTCATTAGTACGGAGAGAAACGAAGACTTCTACGTATTGTAAAATGATGGGTTTATCCTAGGTTTATCCACATTACTGCATTACGGATACATGTAGATATTTTAGTATCGGTATATATAGTATAGATTAAATGGTTAAAAATTAACAGGATTTTGATTAACAGGATTTTTGTGTGATTGCATCAAAAAATTAACCGGCTTTAAATATAAAAAATAAAACCGCCCCAGACTCTAATTTCACCCTTCCGTGTCGTTACCGGTAGTTGCCGGACGAGCCAAACATTACCACCGAGATTAGATTATAGAGTGCGGGAGAGGGAAAAGGGCGCACCCGTTTTTTTTCGTAAATTATTGATTATCTATCCGATTCAGCCCTTCTGATCTACAGCATTCGGGCATTTAATATATCAGTTATCGATAATAGATACAAGTCACTTGTATATTTAATGCCCGAAATGCTGTAGATCAGAAGGGCTGAGTCGGATAAATAATCAATAATTTACTAAAAAAAAAACGGGTGCGCCCTTTTCCCTCTTCCGCACTCATATACAGACACACGTGATTTAATATTATCAGACTTTTTCGTTATAGTGAGCAACCAAAATTCAGCAGATCGACCAAAATTTAGGGCCGGAATAGATAAATTTCTCCCAAAATCACCCAAAATTTTACTAATGAAATGGTAGCCCACTTTTTATTAAAAAAATAACAAGGACTATTGTTGAGTTTTGTGAGTTTTTAACTAATAAGTGTTTTTCTTATTATTTATCTTGTCTTTTTATTCTCTCTATCTATGTTTTTTATATACTTGCTGTTCTTAAAGACTCCTCCAGTTTGAATACCAAACACATTAGGGAGTCTGTCTGAAACAAGAAGAAAAAAGCCTAATTCTTGTGCAAACTATTTAAAATACCTGCTTCTTGGTATATCATATTTTAAAACTTTATTAATAACAATTTTGTAAACAAAAAACAATAAATAATTTAGATTTCTAAGCTTTGAGTCTTTAACTTATAATTGAATAATAGTTGGAACAAGTGATTATTAGAAAAAGTTGTACAGTATTTGGTTTTATTTAATCTTTTTAATTTTCTATTTAATTAATTTTATTAAGATTTTATTTAATAGACAAATCACAAGTCATTTAAACAAATATTTTTTATATATATATAAATTTTACTATATAATATCTGACAAAAGATTCACTGTATCTCTAACTTGATACAGAGATAAGGTAGATAAAAAAATTTTTTTATTTAAAAATATATTGTATTACAAGAAAATTAATATATTATATAATTATTTTTAGCTTTAATTAAGACTTCTATACAACTCCTTATGCTGTTTATTAAATTTTTTATATATTCTTTAGGCAAATAATTTTATTTCTTTATTATTTTAGCTTTTAAAATACTAAGTTTTCAGATTTTTTTTTTGCCAGATTCATTTTTATAAGCCCCAAATGTTTTTAATTAAGTTTTGGTTAGATAATATTAATAGTTAGAGAAGAATTTAAATATCATTGTCTTTCTTCTATACTTTCATGATTTTTGAACAGTGTTTTGAATTATTGTCTTTCTACAAGATCTAATTAGCACAACCTTTATTAAAAATATTTATAACAAAAGGCAGAAAGCCTATTTCATATAGGGTAATCATATATTGTATATTAAGATTATATATAAACAGATCAACTTGTTAATAAAAATAGCTTTATACATAAACTTTCAATAAATATTTGACAAAACAAGTTAATTTCTTTTTTTCAGAAAACTGCTAAACTTTTTTAACTGTTAATTTAAGTAAAAGATACTTTTATTTGTAAATATTATAGAATTCTAGTTAAAATTCTTATGCTTCTTTATCTACAAGAGAAATTTTTTTGATACTTCTCTCTAAGCAAAAGCTTTACAAGCTTTTCGTGATAACGATCTTCATCTTCACCAAGATATTATTGAATAATTCATATATTAAGAGACATGACAAAAATCAGGTAATTTTTTTAGAGAAGAGGAGAGTAAAAAAAGTTAAAATTATATATAAGAACCTGATTTTTTTTTATATTAAAAGGGGGAGGAGAGTAAGTCTCTGATAAAAAAAAATCAAGTAATAAATGATACTGCCCTAATCTCAATATTCTATTTTATTAACTTATAGCAAATTGTTGAGGCTATAATATCTTTGTTGTCTTTTGCTAGCTCTAAAATCTGTTTATTTTATTTTTAAGTAGTAGCTCTTTTATAATCTGATCTTTGATTTGTTACTTAGGTTTTTGGTTTCTTGCTACCTTTTAATTCAATAATGCATTATAATTTCATTACAGTAAATCTGTTTTACTATCTCATATATTGAAAACTTGAGACCTTTTGAGTAGGTGCTTAAAAAAATGATTTTATATTATTTATGCAAAGAAAAAGATATTTTTTTAGCTAAAATTTTGTACATAATTAGTGCAAGTATTTTATTATCAAATCTGTCTAAAAAGTATTAGTATGATTTGTATATGCAATATATTATCAGTCAACCGATTTGTTATACTTATTTGTATCTAAATTTTTTATATATAATATTATAACAAAAATATATATAATTACTTATAAACTTTAAAGCAATTATGTTTCCTCCCTTATATATTAACTTTAAATTAAATTTTATGACTAAATATATCATAAAAAGAAGAATAAAATATTTTCAAAATTGATTTAAAATTTTTTTTTTTTTTTTTTGGTTTTTAAGGTGACCTCTTGGTTGATTCTCTTTATTCAGTTATTAGTCAAGTTTTACCGTATGCTAAGCCCCTTATGACGCCCGTACAGTATACATATTT